GACACGATCGTTTCGTTTATTAGTCAATATAAGGAAGACCAATTTAACAAATTTCATGTACTAATACAATATATATATATGGTTTAATGGAAGGGAAATAAAAATTAAAGAAAAGACGATTTGAAAAGGGTTTTTTTTCCCAATAACCATATTAACAGAATTCAAATGAAATAAAAGTAGGTTACTTTGCTTACTAGCAAGGCAAGGTGCAGTCAGGACATGGATAATTCTCAGAAAAATCTTCATGTAAGACATGCAGAGTGACAGTATAATGTGGGGATGATGAATACGTGGTTCTGGCCACTCAAAAATGCTTATCTTGGCTACTGGGCTTTGTGTTAATATTGCTTGTTTCTCTGCTTGTCTAAGTATACTTGGTATATTGAGGATGTCGATAACATTGGGGTAGATTGCTGGATTTAGGCAGAAAAATTAAGCTTCTCTTGTTGGTGCCTTTCTGAATATCCAGCAGGTATGCCTACACCAGCATTTCATTCCTGACTTTAAATGTTAATGTTTAGTAAACGTGCAGGATCCACACGTTATTTCTGAGTGCACTGGTCTGTTGCACTGCAGCACCTCTGGGCATGAAAGAGACATTTAATTCATGCAAATTGCATAGTCCAAGGATGTTATTCTGAGGGTGCATGGGGGTAGTTATAGTTTCAATGAAGTGTACTTGGGTAACTATCATATGTTGATAATTACTGTTTGATAGTCCAGGAACTGGTGGTGAGTTTGCAGACAGGAGACAAAACCAGGAAAAGCATGATAATACTAATTTCTATTGTGAGAAACGTAACTAATGGCATTGATAACATCACAGTTTCTGTGGCGGGCGGTGAAATGTTTACTGAAGCAGTTTTCACATTACAAGGGAACCAGAAGATTACTTTTCTAATCAGGTGGAAAACTAGATGCCACATAACAGTTTAACAAATCTCCTGTATCCCCTAAAAGAAGCATACTTCATACTCCCAAAGACTCACACTTAATATCCCAACCGAAATTTCAGTTTCAGTGCGGTTCACAGGAAATGGTCTGGACCAACTCCAGGCAAAGTAATGAAGTGCTCCAACCTAAATGTTGCTGGCTTACAGATGAAGGTTTAGATGGAAAGTTGGGGTCTTGATGTGGTTTTGTGAGTATTAAGGTTTGTTATTCCAGTGAAGTAGATTCCAGCAGACCGATTCATCTTCTCCTTGGTTTCTGTTTGCATGGCGACGCCTTTGTATTGACTTCCTGAGGTGCCTGGTCCAGCTTCCTCCTTGTCTCAGCCCTTTCCAAACACAACTGCCCTGGCCATTTCCAGCACCCCCTGTCAGTATGACTCAAGGCACAGAGTGCCTCCAAAGTTCATAAGAGGAACTGGCTTTTTATGTACTTAAAAAGACATAACACAATAGGGATGATGTACTTATATGTGGAGAAGGTCTTTGTTTTGTAATGGGTGTGGATGAGTCTGATTCACACTACAACAGAGCAGCCTGTCATTCAGCAGTTTCTTTATTGTTTTTATCCAAGTGACCAGCTTTCTCACTGGAAGGTCACGTCGTATTCCCAGTTCTCAGTGGGCTGAATGGATTGTGGAACATACTTATGAATGATGTGCTATAGAGAGGTACTACAGTGAAGGTCCAGGAGCAGAAGAAACTGTACAGCTGGTGAAGGATGCTCAGAGAAAAAAGGTGCTTGATGACAGTCATTAATAGCAATAACATGTTAATAATTTTATTATTCTGTTGTTAAGTGGTCTAAAAATATCTCATGAGTAACCTAGACTAAGGCAAGCAGGTTGCATTACCACCATCGCATTGATTGAAATAGACTGAGATACCGGTGATCTATGTGGATATGAAAGAAAAAGGGGCAAATTATTAATTATTAGTAGTATCGCATATCACAATATATTGATACATTCTCGATAACTCGGAACTTGAAAATATCCAAGCTCCTACTTAAAAAAGATCTAGAGAATGGTTGAATGGAATAGATTCATAATGCAAATTTACAGAAGCTAATACTAATACCATTAGTGTTTGATGCTAACATAAGATGCCGATTCTCACAGTGCTAGTGGAAATGAGCACATAGTAAGTCATGATGTACACCGTGTGAACAGTAAACAAGCCTCATCACTGCCGTTCTCCAAACCCAGCAAGGCTTTTACTAAGCCAGCCCTTCTGTAGTGGAAAATTGAAGTGAGCTGAAACCACACCGTAACTAATGTCTCTTCGCGGCGCAGGTCGGGTACAGCCTGGTTCCTGTATGCCAGTGGAAAAGAACCATATGAGTCCGAAAAACTTTTTTCCTGTGAATTTGTTTTTCAAGGTTGGATAGCTAAAATTTAAGAATCATATATTTTAGCAGGCACCCAAAATGGCAGACAGAGATGAACTATGATATTTCACTGTTCCACCACAGCTACTGTTGTTACTGGATGTTATGTTGAGACAAGTTTCCAAATCTGAAGTTTATCATCTCCATCTTATGGACAGCAGTTTGTGTTTCTGTTACTTTCCCATATTTCACCGGGAAACATACTCAACATGACTTGGCAAACTATCTTAACTTGCTTAGGTTTGCAGCTGGTTTTGTTCTCCCAAATTTTTTTCCTGCTGCTTAGCCATAGGCAGTATATCTGCACCTAAATGAAAACCAAGACAGAGTCTGGCTCAGTCTCAGCTGGGCCAGTTTCAGCTTCTCCAGGCTATTGCACTCACAGCTTAGTTATGTTGCTTACAGTTTTCCTGGAAATCCAGAGTTGCTTCCAAGCAATATAAAAAATATGTTCTATTCTTTTTTGCATCTAACTCTACCCTAAAGGCTGGTTCATACTTCTAAGCACAAACGCGACACCCGCGTATCCGCTCTGCGTTTATGTACGTTTATAGTTCTCCGTCAAGCTGCGTACTTTGCACATGTGGGCAACATGTTGTATTTACATTTTTATTAATAATCATAATAATATAAATTATTATTTTCAATTAGACAAGTCTGCACTCACATATCGACACATTTACATGTATGTAACCATTTAAGTACCTTGTAAATAGTCTGTAGGGTTTGCAAACTACGCCAACTCGTCAAACGCGTCGATGTTGGTATTTTAAAGTGGACGGTAGTAAATCGATCGTATGCAGTGTGTCTAGAGTACAGCAGACGTTCGTCCGCACAGGCGCACAATGACATCAAATGTGTCATAAACATTCAAGTGGGCAAGTATGTACCAGCCTTAACTCTTCGGCAAAGAAATTACAAAAATGTTTCTTTTGTTGCAGGCCAAGACCATGAATGTATTATTACCAAGTTCTTCAGCTGTTTGCTTTGCCGTGAGCGAGAGATCCTGGTGCACATTACACCTCAATGCAATGGCGAATAAAAGCAAACCTGTAGTCTGGTTGAAGGAAGGGGGTAAATTATCTCTTGGGTGGTTTTAGATCAATTCGCAATTGAATGTATTAAAAATGTTCTTTGGTGTAATAATCTATTATGCTCTTTTAACTTTATAATCATAGCTAAATAGCTATACTGTACTGTACATCTTCTACTACTTCCTTGTCTGTTGGGAAGGCTCCTGTACTGCTTGACCTTCTAGCAAGGGAAATATATTAGTGGGACTCTGGAGTCAGATTCTCCCGCTCCATGGCTGGGCATCTAGACTGGAACGTGACGGAACATATCCACGACGATTTCATTTGTCATCTGAGCACCAGTATAAAGGAGTTTTCCCCCTTAACACTGAGGCATAAATTTAATGAAACTATGCACTTTCTCCTGTGCCCCTTATCATCTGTCTCTCATTACTCCTTTGAAAATTAGTTCCTTTGCTAATACTTCAGCTATCTTATGTGGTCTGGTTACTGAAAATAATACTGATTTTTTCCTTCTCACTGAAGCTTGGCAACATAAATGAGAAGATCATTGAAGACTATAGCTAAGGCAGTTTCGGTGCTGCAGAGAGGACAAAAGCCAGACTGAAACAAGTTGACCAGGTGATTGTACTGGAGATGGGCAATGGCTTAGCTGGTGCTCAAATGTTTTATAATGGTAGAAATAACATGATAGTGAAATTATTGGGGTTGAGACCAGATTTTTTTAGATGACCGTAACAGTAGCAATCCTGTTGATGGAGGGAATCAATCTGAAAGAGTGAATGATTGAAAAGAGTAGTCAGATGAGAGCAGAAGGCTGGCAAGCAGGACATAGAGTTGGAGAAGAGGAGATTGAGAGAGAAAATGGTGGCCTTAAATGGATGATATTGGACAGTTGAATGGAATCTAGGAGTGTGAAGAAAGGCAATGTAGGGGTGCTGGGGGCAGTAGGAGAGGGGTGGTGGTATCAGAGGTGGAGGGATGACTGGAAACAGTAGAAACCCAAGAGCTGTTTATAGTGGAGAAAGGAGTTGCAGAATCAATAGAGTCACGGACGGTGAGTCTGGACTTCTTAAACAATCTCTGCAACCTCAAGCATGCACTGGATGAATAAGAGGACAATGAAACTACATGATGTAGCACTGAGCTCAGAGGCAAACATTTCAGGAGAGGAGGTAACAGGATGGGGAAACAGGGCTGCAGAAATAGACTGGGGAAAGGTATGTGGATCAACAGATTTGATGTCATGGAAAAAGAGCACAGAACTCTTAACATCCTCATTCTTCTTGACCTGAGAGCAGCCTTTGATACAGCTTCCCTCAGGACATGATCTGGGCATTGAGGGCATTGGCCTGGACTGGCTTACATCCTGCCTGGAAGACAGAAGAGTAGTCTATCTAGAAGTGCATCTACAGTCTAACAGTGAGTTATATCCATGTATTGGGTCTATCGGACTCATAATGCTTTCACTATGCTATTAATAGGAATTTTGTTAAAGCACTGAACTTTTATCTACAAGTCACACCGAAGATTGCATCTGATACCCAGCAGTTTATTTTAATGTTACTGGGGGACTTCCAAGGAGTGCTGATGAAAATCGAGATGACAAATCACATCCTCAAAATCTTGACATTACTACTTAATTATATTTGGGTGTTGAGGACACTACAAGAATTGACTTACATCCTATCTGATCCTGTCTGACAATAAACAGTTCACCCCCAATTCAGGCTACTCCTCACCTTTCTTCGCAGTCACTCATGGGATTCCCCAAGGTTCAGTTCTCAGGCTGTTTTTCTTTCTTTTTATATATCACCCACCAAAATGTTCTGAGGGCAGAAAGAAAAATGCTTGTTTCAGAAAGATAACCAATCAGATTGTAGAGGAGATGGGTCCAAGCTACTAGAGGAGGCAGGACCAACCAATCAGATGTCTTTGTCCTGCTTCCTCTAATTGCTTGGGACCACCTCCTCTACAAACTGGTTCGATATTGCTCCACATTGATCATGGTTCAGCGCCTCTCTTACCTACATTTCATAACCTACCTTTTCCCAACCAGTCGCTGAATGTCTTATCCTCGTCTTTCATCCCCAGTCGCCTTGAATAGTACAATTTCTTCCACATAGGCATCCCCTCCAAATCATTCTACTGGCTCCAAATGGTCCAGAACTTCACCAACTGCCTCCCGAGCCATACCTAGGCCCAGCATCAAATTATTCTCCATGACCATCACTGGGCTCTATGAAATTTTTAATCCATTTCATCTAGAATATCCTGCTTCTCACTTACAAGACTCTCAACAATACTGCTCCATCCCATCTGTCTGGTCTTCTCTTACTAAATCAACCTTCTTTTGCTCAATGATCTTCCTCGTCTGGGGTCCGTGGTGACCAAGCATTCTCTACGGCTGCCCCATCTGTGGAATTCCCTTCTGCTGAATGTCACTCTCAGTTTTCAAATCTCACCTTAAAACCTCCTTGCTATTGCCCGCAGTGAAATCTGACACAAGGCTAAATGTAAATGATGAGATGCATTCATATTCATTTATATTCATTCATATTGCTCTGCAACAGATGAAGCAGACAGCAGTAATTATCTTGTTATGTGGAGGTTTCTGTATTATCATATTGTTACTCTTCCTACATGAAGGATATTATATATCCTTAAATGTATAAGTCAACATCAAACCAGACGTATAGAAAACCTGAAGGAAAACATGGATATTCAAGTATCACTTTTGTATGGTACACAGTCCACTATTGTGTTTTTCTGGCATTACTGTCAGTAGCAGGATTTCTCTCCTTACACATGGAATTTAAACAGAATGTGCTCTGAAAAATTATATGAAATAAGTAAAGAGAGATTAAAGGGAATTTGAACTATAAATTATATAAAACGTAAATTTTTAACTTAAATTTATATTACATATAGTAGAAAGCTGGTTCTTTGTCATCTCAACATCTGTCACATTTATACCTGTTGGAATACAGTTTATATTTAGTACAACAACTACATATGTATGTACATAGTATTGTTAATCGAGTTTAGATGTATACTGAGTCGTCTGTAGATGGCGATGTTAATTGTAGTGAAGGTTGTTTAAGTTAAGTGCGATGCAAATATCCTCTTGGTTTAATAAAAAAAACTGATTGCTGTAAAAAGTATGGCAGGCTGCAGCCATATTAAGTAAAAGAGAAGCTTTGAATAAGAAGCAAAAACTGAGTGCATTTTATTTCTGTACGGTTTTATGAAGCTTTTTCCAATAATTCCCATATTTGTCCTACTCTAGTGAACATGTTTAAACAGCTTTCCTATATTGACACAGGAGAGCATTTCCCTGAGCTCCTCTCCGGTCTCGTATAATTATTTTCCCATGACTTCTCACAGGGTTAAGAACTCGGCTAGATAAGGTTGAAATAATGCTGAAACTGCTGATGGTCATAGCCAGAAAATGCAAGAAATTATGTTTTTATTATTTTTAAAAGAAAATTATTAGACCCCTTCGGTTTTGTCCTACTACATTAAACTTGGGTTTAAATTTAATGTACAGATCCTGCCTGGTAAATGAACCAGAAAGAAAATCATTTATCAAGCGATATCTGTTGTGATCGCGGCGATCGTGCAGGCAGGAAGCGGCGAGGGACGAGGCCAGCAGGCAGGATTGCGGAAAAAGAGGGTTTATTTGGGGAAACGGGGCAGACAGCAAAGCACAGAACATCAATGACGGACACCCAACTAAGGAAGACGTGGACTAATATACATGAAACAAGCCGAAATAACAGGCAACAGGTGATCACAATCGGAAATTAACACAAGGTAACGAGGGGGGCGTGACACACACGAGGAACTGACGAGCCGGGCGTGACAATATCGTTAACATAATTCATCCACATTTTTAAAACCTGGACGCACTCCAGGTCAACATGGCTAGCGAGCTATATGCCTCCTGCTGTGTCTTGCCTACCTCAGTACGCCGAGTAACTGGAGCATCTGCAGAGATGCAGGTTCAGAGGCAGGTAAAGGGATTGGCACTGACCAGACCAGTAGCCATAAATTAATGTCATGGGTGTACGGCATAGGTTCGCCTTGGTAGATTTTGCCACCTAGGTGAGGTTCCAACTAATTTTGGGTAGGAGGCTGGTTCAAGCCTGTAATTTTCCCACCTGAATATGTGTCTGCCATTGATTCTGTATTAATTTTTCCAATTATTTTTATTTTGCGCAGCCACTGATAAAAGCCCTGAGCTGTATGCAGGGGCGGATTAACGCACAGGCTAGATATGGCTTAAACCTAGGGGCCCCACATGTGCCAGCCTGCAAGGGGGCCCCCATTGGCGCGGAGGGGGCCCCACAGACTACTGTAGCCTAGGGGCCTCTGTACACCTTAATCCGCCCCTGGCTGTATAGCACATTGACTGATAGTTATCACCTCAGGTCCCCATCTAATAATCAGTCACAGGCATTTACACAGAGAGAATGTGCTGGAAAGTCGATGTCTTTACTGTTTATATTCTGATGTAGAGAACAGGAAGTAGGCACGGAAAAAAATTCTTCTCCAGAGTATTGTAAAAATGTGTAAAGAAAAGTTGCTCCAAACCATGATATGCTAGGGCAGTTTCTTTGTGCTTCAGGGTTTATGGCGAGGGCTTGCTGAATCATTTTAATCTCTGCAGAAACAGAAAAACTGACTCTATGCCATTTTTTATTAGGTCAGGTTTAAAAACCATTTGGAAACCATTTCTGTTTTATTTTACCATGAAAATAAAATGAAAGCACATCAACTTTTCTACAGTACCTTTATTTAATGTGTGCATGTGCCTATACAATGTGTGTGTGTGTGTGTGTGTGTGTGTGTAAACCAAACTTTTATCAAAGACTGACATCTTCACTAAAGATTGCATCTGATACCCAGCAGATAACATTACTTAAGGGAATTTCCCCTTGTGTAGTTCCCCAAGAATTAGGTCATAGCATAACCCGCATGCTTAGGGAGTACTGAGAAAAGATGAGATGGCAGAAGACATCTGCAAAACCGTGGCAGCGTAGACGTAATGAAAGGTACAAACTTTGCCTCTTTGTAAGATATTTATATATTCATTATTAGGCTATTAAGGACCATATAAGCCTGATTAAGGTAGGGTTGGAATGAAAACATTCTGGTGGGGGGTAGCGGCAGGAACAGGATTGAGAACCACTGGTCTAGGGCAACAGAGTGGCTTAGTGTGTAGCAGTGCTGAGTCAGTCCTTCAGGGTCCAAACTCCTCCTGTGCTTTATGTGTGTACATGCTATGCCTGTGACAGACATGTATTTAAACTAGCTGCACCTGGGCTTGACATGCTGAATACAGCATGTTTTGATTTGCTGGAAGATTTTTTTTGTTATAAAATATTTCTCAGTTTCTACCTGATGTGTCTCTCCATAGAACCTGCAAAAGTGTGAGTCGTGAATAATATTTGCTTTCTTTGGTCTGGCAGAAAGATAATCTACGTCTGCATGAGAGAATTATTAATGCAGAGTTAGATACTATGGGCATATACTAAAATATGTACGTCCTTTCCTCGCGGCTTGTCACACTACACTGGTGCGATCCTGGCGTTACAGTGTACTACAGTGTACTTCCTCTGCACTGGGTTGGCTCAGTGGAGGGGTCTGCTGGCTGGTAATTAAAAACGTCTGCAATGTGGAGCCTCTTTATGACAAAGTCCATCTGTCTTAAAATCATACTGGTTGGCTCTCCCTGCCTCATGTTCCAGGAGGATCATGATTACTGTACACTGGACTGTTTTTATTTTGAAGAAAAGTACTTTGCTTGTATGCCATACTGCTAATTCTTTGTGTATTACCTGAGTAAAAAGTACCACATTAAAGTCAACTCTTACAAGCTTTAGTGAATAACAATTTGTCATATTGTTTTCTTATCTAAGGTCTACAAATATTGCAATGTACCATTTGAAACCTTTCCAAGCATTCACAGAAGTCATGCTCTTGAGGAATGAAACGGAGGGTTTATAAAACAAAAGCAACAGCAATACAAATAGCTACAGTGTTCCAAAAACATTCTGCGAAACAAACCCCGTGACTTCATTTACAAGCACCAGAGGACAAAGCCTAAACCATACTGTGGTTTGAAGTATCCTGAATAATGTGTCTAGTCTGCATAGTCAGTACTGCCGTCTATACATAATGTAATGTGCCCAGGAGCCTCAAGCAGACCTCTGACCAGCATGCAGTCAGGTCACTTTCACAATGCGGTTTCCACATAACCAAATATTGCATAAAGGCATATCTAAAGCAATTGTGGTAATCTAAAAAAAACAGATCTTCAGACACTTAAATGGTCAAAGTGGAGCAGCAAATACATAACAGTTATATGATTATATCCAGTATAGTATATTATCATTGACATAAATTCTGTATCAATGAGAAGCCACATTTAATCCCTGTAAAACTGATGGCATGCATAATAAATTACAAAACACTTTTATTTTTATATTTTACGTTCATTTTAAAGACAATAAAATGGTTCAGTTTCAATGGTTCACAGGCTTATTAGAAATAAACAAGGACATTACTAATGATGCAACTCCTGGAAAATGCCACATCTGTACAGTTTGATTCATGATTCTTGGGATTAATATCTGACCCGTTCACTTAAAGTAATAACTGATGGTTATATTTGCCTATAAATTCTGCTCAGACCTGCGGTGGTATATTCACTATGAAGGTGCAGTCCTAGAAATACTTTTCTAGAGAGGAGACACATAACCTGGCTGAGATGCCATCAGGCATCACTCATGGCCTTAAGAGGCAAGATCCCCAATGACTCACTGGTGTTGCCGCCCAGCTCAGCAGTGGCTCTCTGTGGTCTCTCCATATTCCTTCTAACATAATGTAAACAAAATGCTGTAAAGGTCAAGATGTTCCTGTTCAGTTACAAAGCAGGTCTTCCACCAACATGTTTTCCAGTACTCCACCCTGATTTGTTTTAAACCGGCCCATAGTCTCCACAATGCGGTGCAGCAGGCACCAAATCTTGACCAATGTTTATAGAGTCTTTTTCCGCAAATGGCTGGTCTGACTACCAGAAAGACAGGAGACCACCATTGTGAAGGCCTCACATCTACCACTGTCTCCATTTCACGTTGTTTCAACCGCTGCCAGTTCCATTTCCATTGTTACGTACATCATTT